CCTTCACTGCCATGGTGTTTTGGTGTGGCGGAGGGCTGTTTTCAGCACCGGGAAAAGGTTGGCAAAATTGGCAAAAGACTATTTTTAATAGGATTTCAGAAGGGACGTTAGACACTTTTTTGGTGCGATTTCGTGGCGTGTCCGTCCTTCACTGCCATGGTGTTTTGGTGTGGCGGAGTATTGGCAAAAGACTATTTTTAATAGGGTTTCACAAGGGACGTTAGACAGTTTTTTGGTGCGATTTCGTGGCGTGTCCGTCCTTCACTGCCATGGTGTTTTGGTGTGGCGGAGGGCTGTTTTCAGCACCGGAGGCAGTACAACGGGAAACGCCGACCCCGGCAGACGCAAGGGGGAGCGCGCCAGGGAATAATACTTTTGACCCTTGTTTCGGACTACTACCACTTCGCCAGCTACTACTACTACTACTTCTTCTTCTTCTTCTGGAATTGCCTTTTGAACAGAAGGGGTAGCAGGAGCAGGAGCAGCAGCAGCAGGAGGAAAAAGTAGCTAAATTACTTTACTTCGTGTGATCCCCACCATGACATTTATACATTTTCTTACTGGCAAATCTTCAGGCATTCTATCTGACATATCTTCTGGCATTCAATCTGGCATTCTATCTGGCATATCTTCTGGCATATATTCTGACATATCTTCTGGCATTCTATCTGACATATCTTCTGGCATATATTCTGACATATCTTCTGGCATATCTTCTGGCATATCTTCTGGCACATCTTCTGGCATATCTATCTGGCATATCTTCTGGCATATTTTCTGGCATTCTATCTGGCAAATCTTCTGGCATTCTATCTGGCATTCTATCTGGCATATCTTCTCGCATATTATCTGGCATTCTATCTGGCATTCTATCTGGCATATCTTCTGGCATATCTTCTGACATTCTTTCTGACATTCTTTCTAACTTTCTTCTGCACATTCTTTGTCCCATATCTTCCTACATGAGGTCCGGCAGGGAACACTTGGCGTGGATACTCGCGGTTGAGGTCCGGCAGGGAACACTGGGCGTGGATGGTCGTGGTTGAGGTCCGGCAGGGAACACTGGGCGGGGATGGTCGTGGTTTAGGTCCGGCAGGGAACACTGGGCGTGGATGGTCGTGGTTGAGGTCCGGCAGAGAACACTGTGGATCGCGGGTCGCAGTTGAGCAAGGACGACGAGGACGACGAGGACGACGAGGAGGACGAGGAGGAGGAGGAGAGGAGGACGAGGCAGGAGGAGGCGGAGGAGGAGGAGGAGAAGGAGGAGGAGGAGAAGGAGGAGGAGGCAACTGACATAAAATCTAACAACCCTCACCTGGCAGGTGGGGAATAAATCAAAATAATGCGGCTCTAGTGAGACTAAGCCCCAAGAATTTTAGAGTTCTTTGGTGTGTCCAAGCTATTCAAAGCTTAGGAATCAGCAAAATATGATTGTGGTCGACCTGTGCGGGCAAGATCGAGCAAGCGGAGCAATTCCAGGCACGGCACACATCCCGGCCATGGATTTGCTGAAAGAGATCGGGACGTACGTGGAGAAGTTTCGGCACCAGCCGATTGTGACATTTTTTTGCCAATATTCGGCGCATAGGGCTCCGACAGTGGCTTGATGCATTTGTAGCAATACACTGTTTCTGTTTTTGTTTTTGGTTTCAATTGGTTTACCATGGTTTACCACCCTTCAAAAGCATTCAAAAGCGACATTTTCCGGAGGGGAAAACCAAAGCAACAAGGTCGCCAACTTCTTCAGAAAGAGCTGCCCGTCCAAGCAGCGCGTCATGGTGCTTGAAGGAGGCTTCAGGGGATGGGAGGCCCATGACCTCCCTATCCAGCAGATGGAGACGACAATGTCTCAGATGGCGTGTGACCAGCTGGCCTTGAAGATTGGCCAGAATGTCTCGAAGGTCAACTGATGAGCTTTCATGACCAGCCACAGTCGAATACCTGCCCAATCATTGTCTATGGCAATCACAGTTGAATACCTGCAGTCAATTGCAGTCAGTATCACCCCTGGGTCGAGGCCAACATTGCTTCACCCACAAAACGCTGAAGCGCAGAGAACTGTAGAAAACAGAGTGGTCAGTCACGATTAGTCAAGGTTGGTCTGACATGGTGTCGAGTCTTTTTTTTGGTTCCTTGTGGCGTTGTGGCTGACGGCCATCACAAGCAGCGCGCCATTTTGAGACGAAAGCAGATTCCCGGCTGAGGTGGACATCTCTTTGCAATATCTACCGCTCCTCAGCCGAGTGCTTTCAGCTACCTGAGGCTCCAGGCGGGGCCACGGCACTCAGAGGTTTGCCTTGGTCGGGCTGGCTGGGTGGTTTGAAGATGTTTCAAATTTGTTGCATATTTGACATGTCAATCATTTGAAGGATATGATATGATTATGTGCTTAATTAATCAATATTTGCTTAGTAACAGAGGCACTGCCTGTTGCATCTGTTGCGCCCAGCCCAAAAGCAGCCAGGGTATAGCGATGTGCCATGATCGACTAGTGCATACTCATGACATCTCATGACGATGGTGGTGATGATGATGGTGACGACGATGATGATCCTTTCAGGTTTAAGACGGGTTTGGCATGTTTTGCCAAGTTGAGTCTGATGCCAAGTATGAACTGCTATGCGTATGTACCCATGATGATGATGATGATGATAGATGATAGATGATAGATGATAGATGATAGATGATAGATGATAGATGATAGATGATAGATGATAGATGATAGATGATAGATGATGATGACGATGACGATTGCGATTGCGATGACTTGCTATGATTTGCCGTTTTTTGCCAAGTAAAGTCTGACGCCAGGCAGCCTTGGCTTGGAGGCCTTACGTTTGGGACCTGAGGAAATGTCTGACTAAGACATCATGTGTGAGTTATCTAGAGAAGTGGAAAAAGCAGTCTGGACAGGCATTCTGCCGGAAGGAAATCAACATGGATTTACCTATGAGTTCATACGTTCAAAACTGCAGTCTTGAAGCAAAGTCCTTTCCCTGTGTTTAAGGAAGGGGAAAGGGTGAGCCAAAAGCAAGACATGTGATATCATGATCATGAGATCTTTAGGTCGAAGCAAACCGAATAGGTTTCGTTCTGCAGCAACTTCCACATCTCAACGCCGAGCCATTCAGCACCGGATAGCCTTGGCTTTTCTGCGCTTTGCTTTTTCCTTTTTAGCCATGCAGATGCAGATGATGAATCCGATGCAGCCGATGCAGCAGATGCAGCCACGCTTGGTGCTGCAGCAGGCTGTGCTCAAGCAGCCAGCGGTGCTGTCGCATGCGCGGCCAGCGCAGCCGTGGCTTGGACAGGTGCATCAGCTTGGTCAGTTGAATCCTGCGCGGCCCATGGCGATGCCAGTGGCGATGCCAACGCCCATCGTGAAGGCCGTGGTCAAGCCCGTGGCCAGGCCATTACGTTGGGTTTATGCTGCCCCTATGCAGCGCAACCAAATCAACCAAGGACGCACCAATCAGGTGGTCCTCCGGTGCCAAGAGCTTGTGGCGACGAAGGTGATGGCTCCGGAACAGAAGGAGCTTCCCAAGGAGCTTCCCAAGGAGCTTCCCAAGGAGCTTCCCAAGGAGCTTCCCAAGGAGCTTCCCAAGGAGCTTCCCAAAGAGGCCGGGTGTGTTGGGGATGCCCCATCGACTTTTAAGTTTTTTGGGAATTTAGCCTCTTCCGGTTTTGTCAAGAGTCAAAATGATCAAAATGTTAATTTGTTATAATTTGTTCATATTTGTTCCAGTTGGTTTGCCTCCCACGCAAAGCAGGTGGTGTCCATGCAGGTGAAGCCACGGCGCAAAGAGCTCCCGCTGATTGAGGGTCAAGTCCCCAAAGATGCCGGTGTGGATGGCATGCACCCAATCGATTTCAAAGCGTTTTGGGAGCAGAGCCTCTTCAAGTTTTTGTCAAGTATATAATAGTTAATTTATGTTCATTTGTTCCAGTCGCCTTCGCCGCAAGCCTGCAAGCCTTGGGTTCCAAGAGATTCTCTCATGATCTCTCATGTTATTTTACCCCATGGGAGGTACAGTATGTATGGCATTGCTTTTGCATTGGTTTTGCATGTTTTGGTTTCACAAAATAAATCAAAATAATGCGGCTCTAGTGAGACTAAGCCCCAAGAATTTTAGAATTCTTTGGTGTGTCCAAGCTATTCAAAGCTTAGGAATCAGCAAAATATGATTGTGGTCGACCTGCGCGGGCAAGATCGAGCAAGCGGAGCAATTCCAGGCACGGCACACATCCCGGCCATGGATTTGCTGAAAGAGATCGGGACGTACGTGGAGAAGTTTCAGCACCAGCCGATTGTGGCATTTTTTTGCCAATATTCGGCGCATAGGGCTCCGACAGTGGCTTGATGCATTTGTAGCAATACACTGTTTTTGTTTTTGGTTTCAATTGGTTTACCATGGTTGACCACCCTTCAAAAGCATTCAAAAGCGACATTTTCCGGAGGGGAAAACCAAAGCAACAAGGTCGCCAACTTCTTCAGAAAGAGCTGCCCGTCCAAGCAGCGCGTCGTGGTGCTTGAAGGAGGCTTCAGGGGATGGGAGGCCCATGACCTCCCTATCCAGCAGATGGAGACGACAATGTCTCAGATGGCGTGTGACCAGCTGGCCTTGAAGATTGGCCAGAATGTCTCGAAGGTCAACTGATGAGCTTTCATGACCAGCCACAGTCGAATACCTGCCCAATCATTGTCTATGGCAATCACAGTTGAATACCTGCAGTCAATTGCAGTCAGTATCACCCCTGGGTCGAGGCCAACATTGCTTCACCCACAAAACGCTGAAGCGCAGAGAACTGTAGAAAACAGAGAGTGGTCAGTCACGATTAGTCAAGGTTGGTCTGGCATGGTGTCGAGTCTTTTTTTTGGTTCCTTGTGGCGTTGTGGCTGACGGCCATCATAAGATCACAAGCAGCGCGCCATTTTGAGACGAAAGCAGATTCCCGGCTGAGGTGGACATTGCAATATCATGCAAGATCTACCGCTCCTCAGCCGAGTGCTTTCAGCTACCTGAGGCCCCAGATGGGGCCACGGCACTCGGAGCTTTGCCTTGGTCGGGCTGGCTGGGTGGTTTGAAGATGTTTCAAATTTGTTGCATATTTGACATGTCAATCATTTGAAGATATTTGAAGGATAAGATTATGCTTAATCAATATTTGCTTAGTAACAGAGGTACTGCCTGTTGCATCTGCTGCGCCCAGTCCAAAAGCAGCCAGGGTATAGCGATGTGCCATGATCGACTAGTGCATACTCATGACATCTCATGAAAGTGGTGGTGATGATGATGGTGACGACGATGATGATCCTTTCAGGTTTAAGACGGGTTTGGCATGTTTTGCCAAGTTGAGTCTGATGCCAAGTATGAACTGCTATGCGTATGTACCCATGATCATGATGATGATGATGATGATGACGACGACGGCGATGACGATTGCGATTGCGATGACTTGCTATGATTTGCCGTTTTTTGCCAAGTAAAGTCTGACGCCAGGCAGCCTTGGCTTGGAGGCCTTACGTTTGGGACCTGAGGAAATGTCTGCCTAAGACATCATGTGTGAGTTATCTAGAGAAGTGGAAAAAGCATTCTGGACAGGCATTCTGCAAATAAACAATCAGCATGGATTTACCTATGAGTTCATGAGTTCAAAACTGCAGTCTTGAAGCAAAGTCCTTTCCCTGTGTTTAAGGAAGGGGAAAGGGTGAGCCAAAAGCAAGACATGTGATATCATGATCATGAGATCTTCAGGTCGAAGCAAACCGAATAGGTTTCGTTCTGCAGCAACTTCCACATCTCAACGCCGAGCCATTCAGCACCGGATAGCCTTGGCTTTTCTGCGCTTTGCTTTTTCCTTTTTAGCCATGCAGATGCAGATGATGCAGATGATGCATCCGATGCAGCAGATGCAGCCACGCTTGGTGCTGCAGCAGGCTGTGCTCAAGCAGCCAGCGGTGCTGTCGCATGCGCGGCCAGCGCAGCCGTGGCTTGGACAGGTGCATCAGCTTGGTCAGTTGAATCCTGCACGGCCCATGGCGATGCCAGTGGCGATGCCAACGCCCATCGTGAAGGCCGTGGTCAAGCCCGTGGCCAGGCCATTACGATGGGTTTATGCTGCCCCTATGCAGCGCAACCAAATCAACCAAGGACGCACCAATCAGGTGGTCCTCCGATGCCAAGAGCTTGTGGCGACGAAGGTGATGGCTCCAGAACAGAAGGAGCTTCCCAAGGAGCTTCCCAAGGAGCTTCCCAAAGAGGCCGGGTGTGTTGGGGATGCCCCATCGACTTTTAAGTTTTCTGGGAATTTAGCCTCTTCCGGTTTTGTCAAGAGTCAAAATGATCAAAATGTTAATTTGTTATAATTTGTTCATATTTGTTCCAGTTGGTTTTGCCTCCCACGCAAAGCAGGTGGTGTCCATGCAGGTGAAGCCACGGCGCAAAGAGCTCCCGCTGATTGAGGGTCAAGTCCCCAAAGACGCCGGTGTGGAGGGCATGCACCCAATCGATTTCAAAGCGTTTTGGGAGCAGAGCCTCTTCAAGTTTTTTCAAGTATATATAGTTAATTTATATTAATTTATGTTCATTTGTTCCACTCGCCTTTGCCGCAAGCCTGCAAGCCTTGGGTTCCAAGAGATTCTCTCATGATCTCTCATGTTATTTTACCCCATGGGAGGTACAGTATGTATGGCATTGCTTTTGCATTGGTTTTGCATGTTTTGGTTTCACAAAATAAATCAAAATATTGCGGCTCTAGTGAGACCAAGCCCCAAGAATTTTAGAATTCTTTGCTGTGCCCAAGCTATTCAAAGCTTAGGAATCAGCAAAATATGATTGTGGTCGACCTGCGCGGGCAAGACCGAGCAAGTGGAGCAATTCCAGGCACAGCACACATCCCGGCCATGGATTTGCTCAAGGAGACCGGGTCGTACGTGGAGAAGTTTCGGCACCAGCCGATTGTGGCATTTTTTTTCCAATATTCGGCGCATAGGGCTCCGACGGTGGCTGGATGCATTTGTAGCATTTTTTTGCAATACACTGTTTCTGTTTTTGGTTTGGATTGGTTTACCATGGTTTACCACCCTTCAAAAGCATTCAAGAGCGACATTTTCCGGAGGGGAAAACCAAAGCAACAAGGTTGCCAACTTCTTCAGAAAGAGCTGCCCGTCCAAGCAGCGCGTCGTGGTGCTTGAAGGAGGCTTCAGGGGATGGGAGGCCCATGACCTCCCTATCCAGCAGATGGAGACGACAATGTCTCAGATGGCGTGTGACCAGCTGGCCCTGAAGATTGGCCAGAATGTCTCGAAGGTCAACTGATGAGCTTTCATGACCAGCCACAGTCGAATACCTGCCCAATCATTGTCTATGGCAATCACAGTTGAATACCTGCAGTCAATTGCAGTCAGTATCACCCCTGGGTCGAGGCCAACATTGCTTCACCCACAAAACGCTGAAGCGCAGAGAACTGTAGAAAACAGAGTGGTCAGTCACGATTAGTCAAGGTTGGTCTGACATGGTGTCGAGTCTTTTTTTTGGTTCCTTGTGGCGTTGTGGCTGACGGCCATCATAAGATCACAAGCAGCGCGCCATTTTGAGACGAAAGCAGATTCCCGGCTGAGGTGGACATTGCAATATCTACCGCTCCTCAGCCGAGTGCTTTCAGCTACCTGAGGCTCCAGACGGGGCCACGGCACTCGGAGGTTTGCCTTGGTCGGGCTGGCTGGGTGGTTTGAAGATGTTTCAAATTTGTTGCATATTTGACATGTCAATCATTTGAAGGATATGATATGATTATGTGCTTAATTAATCAATATTTGCTTAGTAACAGAGGCACTGCCTGTTGCATCTGTTGCGCCCAGCCCAAAAGCAGCCAGGGTATAGCGATGTGCCATGATCGACTAGTGCATACTCATGACATCTCATGAAAGTGGTGGTGATGATGATGGTGACGACGATGATGATTCTTTCAGGTTTAAGACGGGTTTGGCATGTTTTGCCAAGTTGAGTCTGATGCCAAGTATGAACTGCTATGCGTATGTACCCATGATCATGATGATGATGATGATGATGACGATGATGACGACGGCGATGACGATTGCGATTGCGATGACTTGCTATGATTTGCCGTTTTTTGCCAAGTAAAGTCTGACGCCAGGCAGCCTTGGCTTGGAGGCCTTACGTTTGGGACCTGAGGAAATGTCTGCCTAAGACATCATGTGTGAGTTATCTAGAGAAGTGGAAAAAGCATTCTGGACAGGCATTCTGCAAATAAACAATCAGCATGGATTTACCTATGAGTTCATGAGTTCAAAACTGCAGTCTTGAAGCAAAGTCCTTTCCCTGTGTTTAAGGAAGGGGAAAGGGTGAGCCAAAAGCAAGACATGTGATATCATGATCATGAGATCTTTAGGTCGAAGCAAACCGAATAGGTTTCGTTCTGCAGCAACTTCCACATCTCAACGCCGAGCCATTCAGCACCGGATAGCCTTGGCTTTTCTGCGCTTTGCTTTTTCCTTTTTAGCCATGCAGATGCAGATGATGCATCCGATGCAGCCGATGCAGCAGATGCAGCCACGCTTGGTGCTGCAGCAGGCTGTGCTCAAGCAGCCAGCGGTGCTGTCGCATGCGCGGCCAGCGCAGCCGTGGCTTGGACAGGTGCATCAGCTTGGTCAGTTGAATCCTGCGCGGCCCATGGCGATGCCAGTGGCGATGCCAGTGGCGATGCCAACGCCCATCGTGAAGGCCGTGGTCAAGCCCGTGGCCAGGCCATTACGATGGGTTTATGCTGCCCCTATGCAGCGCAACCAAATCAACCAAGGACGCACCAATCAGGTGGTCCTCCGATGCCAAGAGCTTGTGGCGACGAAGGTGATGGCTCCAGAACAGAAGGAGCTTCCCAAGGAGCTTCCCAAGGAGCTTCCCAAGGAGCTTCCCAAGGAGCTTCTCAAAGAGGCCGGGTGTGTTGGGGATGCCCCATCGACTTTTAAGTTTTTTGGGAATTTAGCCTCTTCCGGTTTTGTCAAGAGTCAAAATGATCAAAATGTTAATTTGTTATAATTTGTTCATATTTGTTCCAGTTGGTTTGCCTCCCACGCAAAGCAGGTGGTGTCCATGCAGGTGAAGCCACGGCGCAAAGAGCTCCCGCTGATTGAGGGTCAAGTCCCCAAAGACGCCGGTGTGGAGGGCATGCACCCAATCGATTTCAAAGCGTTTTGGGAGCAGAGCCTCTTCAAGTTTTTGTCAAGTATATAATAGTTAATTTATGTTCATTTGTTCCAGTCGCCTTTGCCGCAAGCCTGCAAGCCTTGGGTTCCAAGAGATTCTCTCATGATCTCTCATGTTATTTTACCCCATGGGAGGTACAGGTACAGTATGTATGGCATTGCTTTTGCATTGGTTTTGCATGTTTTGGTTTCACAAAATAAATCAAAATATTGCGGCTCTAGTGAGACCAAGCCCCAAGAATTTTAGAATTCTTTGCTGTGCCCAAGCTATTCAAAGCTTAGGAATCAGCAAAATATGATTGTGGTCGACCTGCGCGGGCAAGACCGAGCAAGCGGAGCAATTCCAGGCACGGCACACATCCCGGCCATGGATTTGCTGAAAGAGATCGGGACGTACGTGGAGAAGTTTCAGCACCAGCCGATTGTGGCATTTTTTTGCCAATATTCGGCGCATAGGGCTCCGACAGTGGCTTGATGCATTTGTAGCAATACACTGTTTTTGTTTTTGGTTTCAATTGGTTTACCATGGTTGACCACCCTTCAAAAGCATTCAAAAGCGACATTTTCCGGAGGGGAAAACCAAAGCAACAAGGTCGCCAACTTCTTCAGAAAGAGCTGCCCGTCCAAGCAGCGCGTCGTGGTGCTTGAAGGAGGCTTCAGGGGATGGGAGGCCCATGACCTCCCTATCCAGCAGATGGAGACGACAATGTCTCAGATGGCGTGTGACCAGCTGGCCTTGAAGATTGGCCAGAATGTCTCGAAGGTCAACTGATGAGCTTTCATGACCAGCCACAGTCGAATACCTGCCCAATCATTGTCTATGGCAATCACAGTTGAATACCTGCAGTCAATTGCAGTCAGTATCACCCCTGGGTCGAGGCCAACATTGCTTCACCCACAAAACGCTGAAGCGCAGAGAACTGTAGAAAACAGAGTGGTCAGTCACGATTAGTCAAGGTTGGTCTGGCATGGTGTCGAGTCTTTTTTTTGGTTCCTTGTGGCGTTGTGGCTGACGGCCATCATAAGATCACAAGCAGCGCGCCATTTTGAGACGAAAGCAGATTCCCGGCTGAGGTGGACATTGCAATATCTGCACTACCGCTCCTCAGCCGAGTGCTTTCAGCTACCTGAGGCCCCAGACGGGGCCACGGCACTCGGAGGTTTGCCTTGGTCGGGCTGGCTGGGTGGTTTGAAGATGTTTCAAATTTGTTGCATATTTGACATGTCAATCATTTGAAGGATATGATTATGTGCTTAATTAATCAATATTTGCTTAGTAACAGAGGCACTGCCTGTTGCATCTGTTGCGCCCAGCCCAAAAGCAGCCAGGGTATAGCGATGTGCCATGATCGACTAGTGCATACTCATGACATCTCATGACGATGGTGGTGATGATGATGGTGACGACGATGATGATCCTTTCAGGTTTAAGACGGGTTTGGCATGTTTTGCCAAGTTGAGTCTGATGCCAAGTATGAACTGCTATGCGTATGTACCCATGACCATGATGATGATGATGATGATGATGATGATGACGACGACGACGACGACGACGATGACGATTGCGATTGCGATTGCGATGACTTGCTATGATTTGCTGTTTTTTGCCAAGTAAAGTCTGACGCCAGGCGGCCTTGGCTTGGAGGCCTTACGTTTGGGACCTGAGGAAATGTCTGCCTAAGACATCATGTGTGAGTTATCTAGAGAAGCGGAAAAAGCATTCTGGACAGGCATTCTGCAAATAAAAAATCAGCATGGATTTACCTATGAGTTCATAAGTTCAAAACTGCAGTCCTGAAGCAAAGTCCTTTCCCTGTGTTTGAGGAAGGGGAAAGGGTGAGCCAAAAGCAAGATATGTGATATCATGATCATGAGATCTTTAGGTCGAAGCAAACCGAATAGGTTTCGTTCTGCAGCAACTTCCACATCTCAACGCCGAGCCATTCAGCACCGGATAGCCTTGGCTTTTCTGCGCTTTGTTTTTTCCTTTTTAGCCATGCAGATGCAGATGATGCATCCGATGCAGCAGATGCAGCCAAGCTTGGTGCTGCAGCAGGCTGTGCTCAAGCAGCCAGCGGTGCTGTCGCATGCGCGGCCAGCGCAGCCGTGGCTTGGACAGGTGCATCAGCTTCGTCAGTTGAATCCTGCGCGGCCCATGGCGATGCCAGTGGCGATGCCAACGCCCATCGTGAAGGCCGTGGTCAAGCCCGTGGCCAGGCCATTACGATGGGTTTATGCTGCCCCTATGCAGCGCAACCAAATCAACCAAGGACGCACCAATCAGGTGGTCCTCCGATGCCAAGAGCTTGTGGCGACGAAGGTGATGGCTCCAGAACAGAAGGAGCTTCCCAAGGAGCTTCCCAAGGAGCTTCCCAAGGAGCTTCCCAAGGAGCTTCCCAAGTTGGGGATGCCCCATCGACTTTTAAGTTTTTTGGGAATTTAGCCTCTTCCGGTTTTGTCAAGAGTCAAAATGATCAAAATGTTAATTTGTTATAATTTGTTCATATTTGTTCCAGTTGGTTTGCCTCCCACGCAAAGCAGGTGGTGTCCATGCAGGTGAAGCCACGGCGCAAAGAGCTCCCGCTGATTGAGGGTCAAGTCCCCAAAGACGCCGGTGTGGAGGGCATGCACCCAATCGATTTCAAAGCGTTTTGGGAGCAGAGCCTCTTCAAGTTTTTGTCAAGTATACAGTTTGCAATAGTTAATTTATGTTCATTTGTTCCAGTCGCCTTTGCCGCAAGCCTGCAAGCCTTGGGTTCCAAGAGATTCTCTCATGATCTCTCATGTTATTTTACCCCATGGGAGGTACAGGTACAGTATGTATGGCATTGGTTTTGCATAATTTTGCATTGGTTTTACATGTTTTGGTTTCACAAAATATATAAATCAAAATAATGCGGCTCTAGTGAGACTAAGCCCCAAGAATTTTAGAATTCTTTGGATTTCTTTGGTGTGTCCAAGCTATTCAAAGCTTAGGAATCAGCAAAATATGATTGTGGTCGACCTGCGCGGGCAAGACCGAGCAAGCGGAGCAATTCCAGGCACGGCACACATCCCGGCCATGGATTTGCTGAAAGAGATCGGGACGTACGTGGAGAAGTTTCGGCACCAGCCGATTGTGGCATTTTTTTGCCAATATTCGGCGCATAGGGCTCCGACGGTGGCTGGATGCATTTGTAGCATTTTTTAGCAATACACTGTTTCTGTTTTTGGTTTGGATTTGTTTACCATGGTTTACCACCCTTCAAAAGCATTCAAGAGCGACATTTTCCGGAGGGGAAAACCAAAGCAACAAGGTCGCCAACTTCTTCAGAAAGAGCTGCCCGTCCAAGCAGCGCGTCGTGGTGCTTGAAGGAGGCTTCAGGGGATGGGAGGCCCATGACCTCCCTATCCAGCAGATGGAGACGACAATGTCTCAGATGGCGTGTGACCAGCTGGCCCTGAAGATCGGGAAGGATGTCTCGAAGGTCAACTGATGAGCTTTCATGACCAGCCACAGTCGAATACCTGCCGGTATTGTGATGTGAAATTGTCAGGATCACCCCTTTGTCGAGGCCAACATTGCTTCGCCGGGAAAACGCTGAAGCGCACTGAACAGAGAAAAAATCAGAGTGGTCATGGTTATATAGTCATGGTTAGAGTCAATGCTGCTCAATGCTGATCTCGAATGGTGTCGATTTTCTTTTGAAGCTTGTGACGTTGTGGCTGAGGGCCTAAGTAGCATCCCGTTTGAGACGAAACCATTTTTGGATCCAGTTTGATTGCCAGCTGAGGTGGGCATATCTTTGCAATATCTACCACTCCTCAGCCGAGTGCTTTGAGCTACCTGAGGCTCCAGACGGGGCAGCAGCACTCGGAGGTTGCTTTGGTCGGGCTGGCTGGGTGGTTTGAAGATGTTTCAAATTGTTTCAAATTTGTTGCAATCTTCATGTTTAATGTATTTTAATGTACAGTTTCCATGATATTTACTTCCTAACAGAAGTTCTGCCTTTTGCACCCAACAGACCGATAGCACGTAGGATAGGCAGGCTATACCGATGTGCTATGATGGTATAGTGATGTGACTTGATCCACTGCTAGTTACTCATGACATTTCATGATGATGATGATGATGATGATGATGGTGATGATGATGATGATGATGATGACATATGATGACGATGATTATTTTATAAGGCTTAGACATGCTTAGACTATTTGTCTCAGACTGATTTGCAATCCTTTGGCCAAGTCGAGTCTGATGCCAGGTCCTTGGTTTGGTGGCGTTACGTTTGGGACCTGAGGACACGGCTGCCAAAACTGAGTTGACCTAGATAAGTCCGGTAATTTAAGTAGAGTTAAGTATGGGTAAGTGGGAAAAGCACTCTGAAGAAACAAAATCAACATGGATCTACCGTAGTTCAGAAGTTGATAGCTGCAGTTTTGAAGCAAAGTCATCTCTTTATTCCGCTTGCATGTAGGGAAGGGGAAAGGGTGAGCCAAAAAGCAAGACACTGAGACATTGTGAGATCTTCAGGTCAAAGTAGTGCTGCAGGTTTCCAGATCTCAGCACCGAGCCATTTAGCCTCGAATGCAGCCTGTTACAGTACTAATTATTGCATTTGCATTCCATTCTTTCCACTTCTTTCAATTATAGTCAATTAATTAATACTAATTATACATACCTTCCGGCATTGTGATGCGAAATGATCAGTATCTCAGTAGCACCCCTTGGTCGAGGCCAACATTGCTTCGCCCACAAAAAACTGAAGCGCAGAGAAAATTGTAGAAAAAGCAGAGTGGCCAGTCATGGTTAGTCAAAGTTGGTTTTTAATAGTCTCGAGTCTTTTCTTTGGTCCCTTGCGGCCTTGTGACTGAGGGCCACCACCAGCAGTCCCCCATTGTGCCAGCTAAGGTGGACATGTCCTTGCCCGTAGAGGTCGTGATGGCGATATCTACCTACCTGAGGCTCCAGACGGGGCGGTGGTATTTGGAGGTTTCTTTGATAGGACTGACTGCCTGAGTTGTTTGAAGATGTTTCAGGACAGTTGCAAGATTTGTCACACGTTTTCCATATATTAGTATATTTACATTTTACTTCGTAGCAGGGGTCTTGCTATTTTGCACCCCGCTCAAAAGCAGCTATAGGGTACAGCGATGTACCATGATCAACTGCTAGCGCACACTCATGACATCTCATGACAATGGTGATGGTGTTCTGAATGAGGATCATGACTCATGACGACGACGATGATGATCATCATATATCATCATCATGATGCTGACCATTTCAGGCTTAGAATGATTTGCTGGTTTGCCATTTTTTTGCCACGTTGAGTCTGACACCAGGCGGCCTTGGCTTGGTGGCGTTTGGTTTGGGGCCTGCAGCTGAGGAAATAGCTGCCTAAGATGATCTGTGAGTTGAGCTATAGATTAGATCAATTCGAAAAACACACTTCAGGAAGGAAATTTGTATTTTTCGACAAGGTTCTATTGTTGTTTCACGACATGGGTTTGTTCCTGGATGTTCCTGGAGTTCGTAGCTACAATTTGTTTAGTGTTTTGAAGCGAAGTCCTTTCCTCATCATCCTATATAATCCGTTCCTTGCCTTTAGGGAATGGGAAAGGGTCAGCCAAAAAGCAAGACATGAGACATCCCGAGATCTTCAGGTCGAAGTAAGTGCTGCAGGTTTCCACATCTCAACGCCGAGCCATTCAGCTTCGAGTCTGCATCGTGTTAGATTGTGTTGCGTTCTTTCCCGAATGCAGATGCAGCAGAAGATGCAGCCACGCTTGGTGCTGCGGCAGGCCGTGGTCAGGCAGCCAGTGGTGCCGTCGCATGCGCGGCCAGCGCAGCCGTGGCTTGGACAGGTGCATTAGCTTGGTCAGTTGAATCCTGTGCGGCAGATGGCGATGCCAGTGGCGATGCCAACGCCCATCGTGAAGGCCGTGGTCAAGCCCGTGGTGAAGCCATTGCAATGGGTCTATGCGGCCCTGCTCCAAAGCACCCCAGGACGCAGCATCAATCCGAAGGTGGTCCTCTGTGGAAGGTGTGGTTTTGGCGTGTCTTGTTGCCCCAACATCGTGCCATGGATCTCCTCAAGAAAATCGGGAAATATGTGGAGGAGTTTGTGGACCAGCAGGTTGTGGCATTGTTTTTGCCAGTATTCAGCTCACCGAGCCGAGCCCTATGCGCTGAATATTGGCAGAATGCCACGATCGGCTGGTCCCGAAACTTCTCCACATATTTCTGGCCAATCTTCAAGGCTAGCTGGTCACATGCCTTGTGATAGGCTTAAATATGGCAATCACAGTTGAATACCTGCAGTCAATTGCAGTCAGTATCACCCCTGGGTCGAGGCCAACATTGCTTCACCCACAAAACGCTGAAGCGCAGAAAACTGTAGAAAACAGAGTGGTCAGTCACGATTAGTCAAGGTTGGTCTGACATGGTGTCGAGTCTTTTTTTGGTTCCTTGTGGCGTTGTGGCTGACGGCCATCACAAGCAGCGCGCCATTTTGAGACGAAACCAGATTCCCGGCTGAGGTGGACATTGCAAGATCTACCGCTCCTCAGCCGAGTGCTTTCAGCCACCTGAGGCTCCAGACGGGGCCACGGCACTCGGAGGTTTGCCTTGGTCGGGCTGGCTGGGTGGTTTGAAGATGTTTCAAATTTGTTGCATATTTGACATGTCAATCATTTGAAGATGATTATGTTACGAAAGCCAGCCGATAGGCTAGGCAAAGTTGTTTTGGCGAACGAAGTGAGTATTAGGGGGTCTGGGGGGTGGTCGTGGCGTATGGTGCCAAAATCTCGAAATTAGTTGCAGTGGAGGGTGGCCAGATTGAACTTTTTTGGGGGGCATGTACCACTACGCAAAGAGGTGACGGTAGGCGTCGATTCCCCCTAGGTCCGTTGACTCCGGCAGGAAAAAGGGAGGAAAAAACAAGGAAAATGAAGGAAAATCGTTGAAAACAGGGGGAAAATGGAGGAATGCCAGGAAAAAGGTAAGAAAAAAAACGAGAGAAAAGGAAGCAAAATCGTTGAAAACGGAAGGAAAACGGAGGAAAATGGAGGAATGACAGGAAAAAGGAAAAGAAAATGGAGGAATGCCAGGAAAAAGGTAGGAAAAAAACGACAGAAAATGAATGAAAATCGTTGAAAACGAGTGAAAAATGGAGGAAAATGGAGGAATGACAGGAAAAAGGTAGGAAAAAAACGACAGAAAATGAAGGAAAATCGTTGAAAACGGGTGGAAAATGGAGGAAAATTGAGGAATGACAGGAAAAAGGTAGGAAAAAAAGGAGGAAAATCGTTGAAAACAGGTGGAAAATGGAGGAACATTGAGGAATGCCAGGAAAAAGGTAGGAAAAGAACGACAGAAAATGAAGGAAAATCGTTGAAAACGAGTGAAAAATGGAGGAAAATGGAGGAATGACAGGAAAAAGGTAGGAAAAAAACGAAGGAAAATCGTTGAAAACAAGAGGAAAATGGAGGAAAATGGAGGAACATGGAAGAATGCCAGGAAAAAAGTAGGAAAAAAACGACAGAAAATGAAGGAAAATCGTTGAAAACGGGGGGGAAATGGAGGAAAATAGAGGAATGACAGGAAAAAGGTAGAATCGTTGAAAACAGGGGGAAAATGGAGGAAAATGGAGGAATGCCAGGAAAAAAGTAGGAAAACGACAGAAAATGAAGGAAAATCGTTGAAAACGAGTAAAAATGGAGGAGGAATGACAGGAAAAAGGTAGGAAAAAAACGAAGGAAAATCGTTGAAAACAGAGGGAAAATGGAGGAAAATGGAGGAATGCTAGGAAAAAGGTAGGAAAAGAACAATAGAAAATGAAGGAAAATCGTCCAAAGCAGGTGGAAAACGGAGGAAAATGGAGGAACTCCGAAGCTCAACCGAGTGCCGCGTTCGTTGGGGTTCGGAACAAGAGAGTTTGCAAGGGGATGAGAAGTGATACTGAGGAACGATTGCAACTGCAGATGGTTTGGGCTTCTGTGTAGAGGGTAGAGTGTAAAGAGTGTAAAGAGTGTAAAGTGTGCAGTGAGGAGTGCGGTGAAAGAAACTGAAGGAAAATCGTTAACAGCAGGGGGAAAATGGAAGGCAATAGCGTTTGAAACACGTGGAGTGTACTGTGTGGAGTGACATACAATCTGTTACCCAGCATGGAGTGAGGAGTGTACAGTGTCACGTGTAAAATTACGGCTGGCTAGGCAAAGTTGTTTTGGCGAACGAAGTGAGTATTAGGGGGTCTGGGGGGTGGACGTCGCGTGTGGTGCCAAAATCTCGAAATTAGTTGCAGCGGAGGGCGGGCAAATTGAACTTTTTTGGGGGGCATGTACCACTACGCAAAGAGGTGACGGTAGGCGTCGATTCCCCCTAGGTCCGTTGACTCCGGCAGGAAAAAGGGAGGAAAAAACAAGGAAAATGAAGGAAAATCGTTGAAAACAGGGGGAAAATGGAGGAAAATGGAAGAATGACAGGAAAAAG